ACCAACAGAATGAACTTGTTTATGTTATCAAATGAGGAATCAAAGACCTCATGGAGGTGTTTATGGCTTTCTCCTTAGGATTCTAAATGTAAATGTTAACTCAGATTCCATACGAGAGGGGACATAGACTTCCAGTACACAAAGTTCCTAACAAAAGGAGGTCTTAATATAACTATGTTTATGCATATATGTGTTCTACAGCAAGAAGCATCAATTCATTTACATTTTCCAGGAAGGTCAACACTTAAAATTACAGAAATTCTAAGTAACAAACATATAGTCAGTCAGTCAAGAAGGATTCATTAAGTGTCTACTATGTGCCAGGCATAGTACTGGGGATCCAAAAGGCAGCATATACCTAAATACAGGACTGATGCTTGGAATGGATGGGACAATAATAAATGACAACAGGAAAGCGGCCCAATTTGCACGATTCTTGTTTTTCTTTTATTCTGTCTATCACGAAAAGCACCCTCTGTATTAGAAATGACAAAACGAAAAACGGCCAACAGTAAGGTGATACCCAAGAAAAGTAAAGAGCTAGTAAGGGCATCTGGCTGCTGTGGACGGATTCAAGTCACCTGGTCAAGATAAACTACACTCTCAGGTATTGAAAGAACTGATAGATGTGATTGCTAAGACACTCTCAGTGACATTCAAAACATAATGGTAAAAAGATATGGGCCAATATTCTGATTTTCAAAAAAGGGAAGGATATTGTGTCTGCCAACTTCAGGCTAGTGAATTTGACTTCAATTCCTGGGAAAACTGTAGAACAGAGAAGGTTAGTAAATACCTTGAAAAGGAAGCACTGATTACAAAGAGCCTGCATGGTTTTATTAAGAAAGGTTATATCAGTTGCCAAATTTTCTTCTTTTGACAGGATTTCTAAATTGGTATATCATTCGAGTCTCCAAGGTTCAAAGGATAGATGACTTTTTTTTTTTACTGGATATTATGTAAGGAGGATTCTTTATTCAATTATGGGTTGGATTAGATCAGCTGCATCAAATTCAACTAGAAATGGACCCCTGTGGGCCACACACTGACTTAAAAAACCCACAAAATGACATTATCTGTGTTGTATTTTTCTTTGTTCTAGTAAACATCTCCCAATTATACTTTAATCTGTTTCTGGTCCCACAGGAATTCAAGTGACCTGGACATCAGAGGCCTCAATGGCCTCTGAGTTCTCTCCAATTCTGAGATTCTCTGAGTCTCTAACTGTGATGACACTAAGGATGAAAAGACTTATTTCTCAGGGCAGCAAGGTGACGCAATGGATAGAGCTCCAGCCTTGGAGTCAGAAAGGACCTGAGTTCAAATTTGACCTCAGACACTTGACAATTACTAGCTGTGTGACCTTGGGCAAGTCACTTAACCCCATTGCCTCACACACAAAAAAAACAAAAAAAAGACATTTCTCATTGCCTCCTAAACTTTGCCCTGGGGGTAGGTCATCAAGAGACAGAGATGACCTCTCTAGAGTAACCTTTCCTTCAATTTTTTTACCTCAGTTACTATAGAAATGAGGCATGTGCAGGCCCAGGCTCCTGAAACAATATTCACCTCCCAGTGATTTTAGTAAGTCTTGACACACATGGCTTCCTCAGAAGAATGCAAGGCTCTTTATCTGGGAAATTTCTGTGTAGCTGCCTGATACAGAGACCAACCCTTGGATTTTCTTTATCTTAGATCTCAGCTGTACTAATTTTGCCTATTACTAAGCCCCACAAATGGGAAAAAATCTAAAGAAAACCTAAAAAAAAAGAAAAAAGATAACTTAAAGCAGAGATTTGCAAAAAACTGGAAAAATATATGTAGAGAGTCTTCTTATCTGGGTAGTTTGAACCTGTGATTTCATCAGTGTGAGGAACTCCCAGTGTGGAAACTCCCTCCACTGGTACAGATCAGCAACTTTTATAATTTTAGTCTTAAAGAGCTGCTCATTTGAACCCAGGTTTTCTTGACTTCTGGTCAGCCCCTCTATTGTTCATGCCACTATGCCTCTCATACAGAGTTTGGAAGTTGAGAAAGATGACTATGAAATGGGGTAGACCTTTGAACATGTAGAAAATCTACTATGGCTAAGAGCTGAATGTATTCTTTCTCCCTCTCCTGCTTTATCCCAAATAAAGGTACAGTTAAAAGAAGCTGCCACTTCTAAAATGTAGCAAGGTCCAATTTTAAAAGGTTTAGGTTCTAGACCATCATTTAAAAGTAACCTAAATGACAACAGAAATTTTCTATGTCTTACAGCTGAGCAACAGCACAGGTAATCAGGCATTTCCTTCATTAAAAACAAACAAAATGTAAGTTTTACTGATGTGTTTTCCATCATTTTAGCCTCCACCCCCAAAATCAACCCCCTTTGTAACAGAAATAATTAAGCAAAAATATCCAATATATAAACCTTGTCTAACAAAATACATATATGTATGCATGCATGTATGTATGTGTGTTTATACACATACAGGTATACACACAAAATTTTCTGCCCTAGTAATGCGCCCCTCTCTGTCATGAAAGAGAAAGTATATTTTATTACTTCTTTTTTTAGGACTTTTAGTTGGTTTTCCTTTACTCAGCATTCAATTAATTGATCAAAAGATCAATTTCATTGATCCTTTCCCTTATACTGTTGCAGTCATTGATTCTGCTTATTTTGCTCTGCATTAGTGTGTACATATCTTTCCACCTTTCTCTGAATTCCCCATATGCATCATATCTTACTACACAATAACATTCCATCATAGTTATATACGATAGTTTTTTCAGCCAATCTCTAATCAGTGGGCTCCCACTTTGTTTCATTCCTTTGCTACTACAGAGAGAGCTCTTATGAACATTTCGGTATAGTAAACCTCTGTTTCCATCTTATTCTTTCTTGCTGTATTTGGCCAATGGTAGGTCGACAGGGGCAAAGAGCATGGCATAACTCTTCTTGCATAACTTGAAATATAGACACAAAATGGTTGGGACACACCACAGCTCCACCAATGTGTTCCCAAAGCCCCTTTATCCTTGATGTTTTATCTTTCGTCCTCTTTGCCAATTTGCAGGGTGTGAGGAGAAACCTCAGAACTGGGTTTTTTTTGTATTTCTTTTATTATTAGTGATTTGGAGCATGCTTTCTTTCATGTAGTAATTTAGTGTTTGCACCTGTAAAGATACTTGTCCAGATCTTCTGACCACTTAGCTAGTGGGCTCTTGGGGTCCATTTTTTTTTTCTTCTTAACATATTCCCATCAAAAAGCCAACTCAGGATGGGACCTCTGCCTCCTTTCTATTCAAAGAGATGAGCAAGGAAGTGAATGAAATCCAACAACAGCACTTGGCATGTCATCCAGCCAGCAAGCACTGACCAAGTGCCTTCGTGCCAAGGCCTTGTTCTCTAGGAGCTCAGTCTATTGTGGGGAAATGACGTGTACACACATACATCAAATACAAGACAATCTGTGGATGGGACTAGCAATGGGAGGAATCGGGAAATGCTTCATGTAGGTGTTCACCTGAAGTAAGCTTTGGAGGAAGTTTGAGATTCTAATCAGTGGAGAAGAGGAGGGAATGCATTCCAAGAATGGGGCTGAGTGAGACTGTGCGTGAAAGTGAAAAGAAAGGAGATGTGTTTAAAAAAGGACCTCAAACAGGTCAGTGTGGCAGAATGTAGTTTATAAAGTGAATATACAACTAGACTAAAAGGGTAGACACAACCAGCTGAGGCAGGGCTTTAAAAGCCAAACAGAGGACTTTATATTTTATCTGACATGCAATGGGGATGCTTCTTGAGCACGAGAGTAACAAGGTCAGACCTATGCTTTAGAAGCTTGCATTTACAAGTCAAAATTTTATGGAAGTGAATGTTGAAAACTAAAAATTAATTAATTTTTTAAAATTACATAGGGTGAAGAAAAACAGTGTACACAGTAACAGCAATATTGTGCAATGATCAACTTTGATACACTTAGCTCTTCTCAGCACTACAATGATCTAAGACAATTCCAAAAGATTCATGATAGAAAATGCTATCCACATCCAGTGAAAGAACTACGGAGTCTGAATGCAGATTGAAGCATACTATTTTCATTTTTTTTCTTTCTTGTGGTTTTTCCCTTTGGTTCTGATTTTTTCCAACATGACTAATGTAGAAATATATTTAATATGATTGTACATATATGGCCTACATCAGATTGCACGATATCTTGGGGAGGGAGGAAGGGATGAAAATTCAAAACTCAAAATCTTATAAAAGCAAATGTGGAAAACGAAAAATAAATAGAAAAAAAAAAAGAAGCTTCGGGGTCAGCTAGGTGGCACAGTGAGTAGAGCTGTGGCCTTGGAGTTACGAGGACCTGAATTTAAATCCAGTCTGAGACCAGACACTTGACACTAGCTGTGTGACCCTAGGCAAATCACTTAACCCCAATTGCCTCGCCAAAAAAAAAAAAAGAAAAGAAAAAGAAAAACAATAGATCTAGAGAACAGATCAAAAAGAGAAAACGTAAGAATAATCATACTACCTGAAAGCTATGATTAAAAAAATCTTGATATAATAATACAAGAAATAATTTTTTTAAAAAAGCTTCCATTTACAATACCCTATTTGAAACTAAGTATTACCATGTGGAAAATTTCTAAACAATAACTATTTGATACAATGTCTGAAACATGACTACTGTGGTGTACATAAACCCAGAATGAGCACTGCCATAACCTGATCTCTAAATATACAGCAGGAGTCAGGAAACAGAAATCAGCTAGCTCCATGTTAAATCTATAACTGAACTGGATGACCTTAGCCCTATCACCTCAGAGAACAGGAGAATTCTTCCAAAGAGAAATTAAAATAGGCTAGCAAAGGTGGATACCCAGGGTCTTATCAGTAAGATCACAATCTGAGCAAAAAAGGGCAAGGAATGGATGGGATCTGTGAAATGATAAGGCAAAAAGGGTCCATTCCATTATCACTACATGCTTCCTGGAAACAAGTGGTTGGTTACCTTGGTCTTCTGGCCTCACTTTCACAGATGAGTTTTCAGTTGTTTTTTCTCTAGCTGTTGCCTCTTCTTCTTGCGACCATTCCACGTGGTCCCTATAGAAAGATACACACAGAACACTATGAGGGGGAGCACTGTGGGGGTGTTTATAGAACCGTTTATACTAGTTTCTTGAAAAAATGAACTACATTGTTTATTCTCATGTCAAACGAATACATTTTGGTGCAAGATGTTCCTTCTGACAGTCCCAGTACATTCTGAAACTCCTACAGTTCTTCTGTTTTTCATTTCTTGCTTTATTCTCAGAACCAACAGCCTCTAATAGCTCCCTGCTACTGTAATGTCCTACTCAACCCCCTGGCATCTGAGCAGGATTACCCATGTGGTTTCTTGTTTTCTACTTTAATCTGAATTTATTTGCGTTTTTGTTCATTTCTACTCAGGACATTCTATTCTATAACAGTTTCCCTTGCTCCTTTTCCCTGTGTTCTAAACTCAGCTGCCAATGTGATAAGAGTCTTCAAAAATTTTTTACATTCAAGAAACTCGATAGCCTATGTTTGTCTCTACTGCCTTATTTTTCTATAAACTGATTCATTTAGATGCAAATGATAGACTGCATGACATGACAAAAGAAAATGTGTCACCTTTATAAGGAAATGAATTTTCCTGGAGGTATTTTTAGCTATAGAATTTGCTATGCCAGTATGGGGAGGTATTATTTTCCTGTTTTCTTGTTGCAAAGATTTTTACTTTTTTAGAATAACAGCAAAGGTTTTATATGAAAAGGTTTTATTAAATATGTATTTTCTCCTTTGCACAGGTAGGATTAGAAATGAATGAATAAATCCCCTAGAATGAACCATCTGAGGTCGTTTCCAGCTTTAAGCTTAAAATCCTATGTTTTTTCTGAATAATAAAATGGTTTTTCAAACAATAAAAAACATAAAAGTTGAGAATTTAAAATCTACTCAGCTTATGGGTAACCTGTGAATGGTAACCAAGTAGAAACCAACAAATCCCAGAGTTAATGCCAAACTGACACTCTGAGCCAGCTGATTAATGGAGAAGCAGGTAAACACACTGGTTGTCTAGGTGCAACGTCACATTATCAACAAATAATTATTTATTGAGCAGCTGCTGTGTGCAGGTTGGCCTCATGTCCTAGGAGAAAAACCTGTATTACACATGAACCCTGACCTACAAAGGCTTGTATTCTGTTGGGAAGAGAAAAATCATGTGTAAGAGATGAACAACAATACAATACAGGACATGCTAAATGCTAATAAGTGATAGAGATAATAATTATTCTAGAAGCTGGAAGGAAGGAGTGTTCATTAGGTATTGGACTGGCCAAAAAAGACTTCATGCACCAAGCAATACCAGCGCTAAAGACAGGAAGACAGGTGGGGGGTAATCTATGTGGTAGATAATATTAAAAAAATTTTTTTTTTGCAAAAACAAATCTAATGTAATGCTAAAGGGCTCCCTGAACTTGTCTTCTTAAGCTGCTATATTTTCCAGAAATGGTGGACCTGGAGTATGCAGGAGGCCCTGAAAGTGTCAAGGATGAAGCAAATCCCTCACCCATTTTTTCTGGTTAACAGTAGTAAAAATTTAGAACACAAATGGGTAACATGGGAAAAATATTTAGAATAAGTTTCTCTGATAAAAGTATCATTTCTAAGATATACCAGTAACTGATTCAGATTTGTAAGACTAAAAGCCATTCCCTAACATATAAATGGTCAAAGGATATGAATAGGCAGTTTTCAAAGGAAGACATCCAAGCCATCAGTGATCATATGAAAAAATATTCTAAATCATTAATGATTAAAGAAATGCAAATTAAATTAATTGTAAGGTTACTTTAAATCTCAAATCTATCAGACAGGCAAAGATGACAAAAGAGGAAAAGTAGCAAATACCCGAGGGGCTGTGGGAAAACAGTGTACTGCTGACTGAGCTATGAATTAGTCCAGGAATTCTGTAAAGCAATTTGGAAAGATGCCCAGAAATTTATCAAACTGTGCATACCCTTTGACCGAGCTATACTACTACGAGGTCTATTCTCCAAAGAAATCTGAGAATTAGGAAAAGGCTCTATACATACAAAGATATTATAGTAATTCTTTTCACGGCAGCAAAAAAAAAAAAGGAAATTAAGGGACTGACTGCCTATTGGGAAATGGCTAAAGAAATTATGGTAAATGAATTTAATGGACTATTGCAGTGCCATAACAGAAGATGAAATGTACAACTTCAAAGGAAAATGGGAAGACTTTTACAAACTGATACAGAACAAAGTGACAGTACTAGGAGAACAATTTGTAATGATAACATTTTAGAGGGAAAAAAACTTTGAAAGATTTTGGAATTCTGATCAGCACAATGATAAACTTTATCAGCACACTGATAACTTTCAAATGAATGTGAACCACGCCACCCACCTCCTGACAAAAAGAGATGAATTTAAAATGCAAAAAGCAAAATTCATTTTCAGATGCAGCTAATGTGGGAATATGTTTTGCACGATATTACTACATTGGTAAGTATTGAGGGACTGATCAGTTAAATTAGGGTTGGGGTTAGTGGAAGGTACTTGATTTTTAAAAATACTTGGTATTTGAAAAAAAAATAATTTTCTAAAAGAAAAAAAATGTGGGAGGAGTCAGGTTAGAGGCTGTGAGAACCTGTGTGATTAGAATGCTGATGGTCCCAGTAATAGGAAATTGAGAAGATAGGTGGTTTGTGGAGAGGGAATTTCTTTAAAAAAGAGAGAAAAACTTATGTAGTGCCCACAGGAAATAAAAAAGAGATCCATTTGGCTGAAGCAGAGGGATTTCAGTAGAAGAGTGACAGGGGAAAAGATGGGGAACATTTATCATGAATTGCCAAGAACACCAGGCCAAGGAGATAGGATGCTTTTTGCCAGGACTGTTGCTGGATTTTGAGTATGGGAGTGACATGTAAAATGGTGTTTTAAGGATAAGCAATCCCGACTTGGTGTGTAGGATGGATAACAAGAGTCTAGAAGCAGGGAAGTCAGGTAGGGATATAACAGTCCAGACAAGGGGTAGAGAGAGCCTGGACTAAGATGGTGACTGGCCATAGAAAGAAATAGACACATTTGAAAGAGACAAAGTCAGAAAGGAGTACAGTGGATAAAGTTATAATCTTGGAGACAAGAAGACCTGAGATCAAGTCCTCAAGTCATTTTTACCTCTCAGAAACCTGGGTAACTTATATAAATCTGCATTGGTGAAATGAGTTTTGACACCAGGATTTCCTAACACTGAAAAACCCCGACAGATCTGGAACAACAACAAAAAAAGGACCTCCTAGATGTGTATGTGGGGGTGGAAAGGATGATATAAACCAAGTCCAATGTTTCGAATCTGAGTAGCACTGACAAAATAAATGAAATACAGTGGGATAGCTGATTTGGGGAGAAAAGATAATTAATTTTATACAGTTGGAGACTATGCTATTCAGTCAAGGGTGGGTGGGTGGCTAGATCCCAGAAACCTTGAGTTCTGTATGTGTGTTCATGTGAGATATATATATCTATATATAGATATAGATATATATATAGATATAGATATAGATATGCACACACACACACATATATTGAGTTACTATATCTTTAAAGAGTAAGGAATTCACTCATTTCTTTTGAGTCACCTCAAAATGAATATAATTAAAGCCTCCCCCAACTTCATAAAAAAATCAGTTTTAACCATTACAATCTAATCACTAGAATTTCAGATGAAAAGAATCACCAGAGACCAAATAATTACCAAACAGCTCTGCCATTTGGCTTTCATGAGTGGGGGAAGTGTATTTTTTGTTCCTAATTTATGGCATGTTAACAGACATCTGAAACTTAAAAAGACAGCAGCTATTATGGAGGTTAATTTTTAAAAATAATTTTGTTTAGGACAGTTATGATACAAAAGGCTCAGTGATTGATTCCAGAAAACTAGGTCTCACTAAGCTATGAACCATGTTTCTAATCTAGGATATCTCTACAGCGTACAGGAATGAGGGCAGAATGAACAGTTTCCCTGTAAAGAAACAAGCTGTGAGGCAATACTCGTATTTATGGTTCTTTGGCTTTCGGCATTTGCTTTAATGTTAGTTTAACTCCCTTCTTCCAGAGCATTTAATAGATTTAGTTAGTTCTTTAAATTGAACTAACTTGCTTACAGTGTACTTTATGTTACTTCATTTTCTTAACTGCTAAGTGAGGGAGAATATTGCAAACAAAACTCCTGCAAAATGGCTTTTTTTCATTGTATGGTTATGGATACCACCATGGAATACATTTATATATGAGACATTCCTTCCTACTGCATATTTGTAGGGACTTCCCATTGGTCAACAGGCTTTACAGTAGTGTATAACGGTACAATATTCTAGTTCATTTATACTAAAAGACACGAATCTCTGATAAGAAACATTAACTTTTCTCTAAGGAATAAATGCAATTACAGAAAAAGGTCCTGTTCACAAAGTTCATTTACTAAGTTGGTTGTTGGGAACTGGAAATGCATTTTTTTTGGTTTGTTGTTTTGAGGTTAGTCCTAGGTAGGTAGAGTCCTTCATTACCTCTTAAGCTACTTCTATGATAACTTCTACTGTTTTATAGTAATTAATTTAGTACAGTTCTTTTCTTAGAACATTTCTAGCCTTACCACTATACTGAAAAGCATTTTTCCATAGAAGCTTTGTTCAGTATGAAAGGCGAATTTTCTTCTCCTCCCTATCTCTCCCCCCACCCCATGTGACTTTATTGGTGTACAAAATTCCTAGAAAGGAAACTCCCTCTGTTAATGGAGATTGGCAACTATTCTCCAACTTACTATGGTCTTAAAGAGTTGCCTGGAAATGTTTTACATGATTGCATTTATATAAAACTATATCAAATTGCATAATCTTAAGGAGGGGAGAGGTGAGAAAGGGAGAGAGAAAAATTTGGAACTCAAAATTGTTTTTTTTTCTAAATTAATATTAAAATTTGTCTTTACATGTAATTGGAAAAAATAAAATACTATTTAAAAAAAAAGAGCTGCCTAGGCACTGAAAAGTTAAG